AAATAGGTCTATGACGTAGTTATTGAATTACAAACGAAACAACCAGGAAACTTAAGGATAAAAAGTTGTCCTTAACAATGTGTTTAATTGAACAAAGATTAAAGTGTCTGGCATAGCAATTTCTTGTTGCGAAGACCATTCATTTAAAAAAATATATTTCAGATTGAAAAAAAGAAAAGACCATGTCTCAAGTTTTGGCTATGATTTTACGACAAGCGGGAAATCTTGTTTTGGTACGCATATCCCCATCGAGACTATTTTTGTCTGGTTAAATAAAATCATCAAGTTTCTTTTGTGGACGCAAGGGCTGACACAAAGTCTCCAAGTGAATGTTGAGTAGCTGCTAATGAATGGCAGCTGTCAGCGGTTTGTAAATGTTCTTTACTCAGGACTTTTAACCTGATATTCAGTGCACGCTTGTTTGACTCAAGGGCTGACACAAAGTTTCCAAGTGAATGTTGAGTAACTCCTAATTCATGAGAGCTGTGAGCGGTTTGTAGATGTTCTTTACCCAAAACCTTTAACCTGATATTCAGTGCACGCTTGTCTGACTCAAGGGCTGACACAAAGTCTCCAAGTGAATGTTGTGTAGCTGCTAACGAATGATAGCTGGAAGCGGTTTGTAAATGTTCTTCCCCCAGGACTTTTAACCTGATATCCAGTGCACGCTTTCCTGATTCTAAGGCTTCTACGTGGTTGGCTTTCGTGCGTTCGCTGTTATTTGAGGAAGTTGCACTGATATTTTTCTCAACTTTTTTTTTACTTTTCGGGATGAAAATTCACTATATCTCCGATTTGAATTACACGGTTCTTGTTCTTTTTTAATTTAATGAGCAGTCTTACTCCAGAGAAATCAAAGTTGAACCGACCAGTTGCACCAGATGGTATGGCAGAGTCAGATTCCGTCAGTATTTGCAGCAGTTAATTACTAAAGAATTGGCTGGTTGTATCAGTGGAGATGTTCTTTACTGCTTGACTCACCAGAATGACAACTTCCGTTTGAAGTGCCTGGTTATGGGTCAGTCTGGTTTCGTTTAGATGTATCCTGTCTTCCTCTCTCCTAGTTTCATCGATCTCCGGAATTACTACTAAGCTCGTGTTTCCCATTGCTTTGCATTCATCTACTGCTCTTTTGTAAAGGTCAAGTGACTTTAACGGGGTTCCTTTTGGAACTTTGATAAAGAGCAAGAACTTGGAGAATAATGAGCTTTAGGATTCTGTGCTTTGGAGTTGTCTCCATTAACGAAAGCGCTTCTTCTAAATGTCTCACTCCTTCTTCAACTCTCCCGATAAACATTTTGTACAATCCTTGGTAAGTCAAGAATTCTCCTTGCAATTGTGTGTCTTGGATGACGGTAGATAACTGAACTTGCTTATTCACCGACAGCAGCCTCTTCGTCTCTTCAGTTGCGCCCATAACCAAGCTCCCATACGTTTTCGACAGAAGCAGTCGTTTGTGGACAGAGTTAAGCCAAT